ATGAAACCTCCTAAACTTAATTTAATATATTTAAATTAAACTAATGACTCATAATTCATTTAATTTTAAATTACAAGCAAAGTCAAATTACAAAATTCTGAATAAAATTTCACAGATAATTTGAAATTTTCCTTAATTGATATGAATCCTTAAGATTATATTATTTATGAGTATGTATTAGTAGAGCCTAATGATACAACTTTAAAAGATATCAATTACTTATTTTAAATTTAATTGTTAAAGTAAGAAACATCTGAAATTTACTTTTAAGTATAATTTGATGCATTATTAATTGATGAATATGGGTTTTAGGTTGAAAATTAATTTTTTAAATTGCATTTGAAGAATACCATAGTTTTAAGTGAATCTCAAAGAATAATTTCTAATAAGATATGTACTTTAAATATATATATACTTATTGGCCTCGGCCTATCTAGTTTTATTATTTTATTATCTGGTAATCCTGGAGATTGCTTTGAAGTTTTGGATACTATGTAGTATTAATCTAATCTAAAATATATTAATTCAAATTTTCCAGAAAATGTCATGATTTATTTTGAATCTTCCTAAGTAGTAACCGTAATTCCTATTTTAGAAAAACTAAAAATACTAGATCTACTTGATACAACTATTGGATCAGAATAAATAAAATCATTTGGAAAATTTCTTTTATATGATGTAAATTCAGATTTAATCACTAATTTATCGGGTTTGATAGTACAAATAGGGTTAACATTAGTTTTCCTCGTTACATCAAAAATCTATTTATTTCTCTTTTTTAAAAAATACTATAATAAATTCAGGATTTTCATTTACAAAAATAGTAAATTTTTTTTATCATCAAAGGTCATCTAATTCATACATAAATTGAATAAATTAGGGATGACTATTAATTAAATATTATCATTTAAAGGCCTAGTATATGTTATATAAGCAAATAGTTGGGATCTTCTTTTTAAGACTTTAATATATCTCTACTCAAAAAAAGAAAATAATCTGAGAAATTATATCTAAAATATACTTGCGTATTCTTTTATAACTTGTATTTTAATATTAATCTCTTAAATTTTCTCATAAAAAGATTCGTAAATTGATATTATGAAAAGGAAGAGCCTTAAGCATGAAGGGGTGATTGTTGCTAAAAAGTTATTATTTCTTATAGTATTAATTGGATCTCAAGAA